ATTTTCGAATGTTTATAGATCTTATTGATTTTAACCATTTTGGAGTTTAAAATTTTCTAATTAAATATGAAAATAGATTTTAAGATAATTCTAAGATTTTTTTACAATAAAATTACACGTTATGATAAAATTTGGAAGTGAACCTTAATTGGATTGTTTAAGATTGCAACCTTATAGAAACCTCACCTATATGATTTTCGGATCCGGCTCCGAGGACCCCACCTTATGTTAGAGGAATGGATGACACTGGAAATGATGTTTTAATTTTTTACGGAGTACAAAAATTGAGAGAGAGGTTTTGTTCAAACGCAGGTAATTTTTATAGATATTCAATGCTTTTTATCACGGTTGAAATTTTCAGGGACGCGTAGGGGTGGATGTTTGAATTTTCAGTTTGGGTGAAAATAAAATAATTTTAAATTCAAGGAAGTTTCTTTCTCGTTACTAACCTCGGATGTTCCGATCCTTCCCCCCCAAAGGAAAACATGGGCCAGGTAAACGTTATTCTTCACGTCAGATTTTCCATTCACTTCCATCTTTCTCGGAATCTAAACTTCTGGTTTTTTTTAATGTTTAAAAACCTGGATCGGCTGGGCAAACCAGCTGTCCGATAAATTGGTCTAGGTGGATAGCCAATTTGGAGAATTGGCAAATTTGATTGATATTCGAATTTGAGAATCCAATCAGCATGATTTGTACCACTTTTTTAGTTTTAAATTTTATTATGGGTGTTAAAAATTGATTTAGATTCATCATGAATATTTCTACCCTCAAAAGTGCTTTGACAATGAGGATTTTGACAATGAGGATTTGAGGTGATGTTTTATTTTGTTTTCATAAGACCTAAGCCCTATAAAAACTTACTTTTTTTTTGTTATTTATTTATTTAAAAATTAATTTAATAAGTTGTAGCCCTATCAAAGTAAGTAAAACATCACCTCATAACTCATCAAAAATTACAATTCAAGCATTATAAAACCTTATTGTTAATCATTTTGATTTGAATATTATGGTTGTGAACAAAAATTAGGACTCCAAACTTGTGTATATTATTATAACGAATTATCTTAGACCATCTATTTCACCTTAAAAATAAGTGTTTAAAGATTCGCAAGATCAGTATCACATTTTTAATCTTAACTATTTACTGTTGGGGTCAGACTTTATTTCGTTTTCATAAAACCTAGGCCGTATAGAAACCCCACCTTTTTTTGTTTTTTTTTTTCTTTTTTTTTTAACTCTCTCGGTCCTACTCTCTCTCTACACGTGAACTCTCTACTCTCACGGAATCGTTTGGTTTGGTCATTTTCCAGGTTCTCTCTCTCTGACCTCTCCTTATTTCGTACCCGCCACTCTCTCTCTCTCTCTAAACACTCGCACTAACCGGGCCTTCGTACTCACGCTACCGCGTCGTGTTCGGAACAGTAGCGTATAAAATAGGCTCCGGTTTCCCAACGGCCCCTCCTACATTTGTATCCTCCTCTCTCTTTCTCGACGAAACCCCATTTCTCTTCTCCCTCTGCTCCCATAGAGAGAGAAGAGAACAGAGAGGAGACAGAAACATAGATATTTTTGTTGTGTATCTTTGAAGAAAGAGAAGATCCAACGATCAATCCGATCTCGAGCTAGGGTTTTTTCTAGAGGTGAGAGGGGAAAGAAAGAAAGAGTGGGCTAGGGTTTTGTTTTGCTCAAAAGATGGGGCAACAGTCGTTGATCTACAGTTTTGTGGCTCGCGGGACTGTGATCTTAGCAGAGTTCACTGAATTCACTGGTAATTTCACCTCCATTGCGTCACAGTGCCTGCAAAAGCTACCTGCAAGCAACAACAAGTTCACCTACAATTGCGATAACCATACCTTTAATTACCTTGTTTCTGATGGATTCAGTAAGTCCTCATCCTCCTGTTTCTTCTTTGATCTTGCGAATGATATTGAGAAATCAAGTTCTATGTTGTTTTCTGGGTTTGTCTTCACCATTTCTGTTTTTCCAGTTGAACTTTGAAGCGAATTTCACCTGAAATAATAAGTTAATTGGATATTTGTAGATGATCTTATTGTTTTCGGTCAATTTGTTCATCTGTGGTTACTGAATCAGATACTCATGTCTAATCGTATCTCATAAATCCATGTCATATTTTGTGGTGATATCAGGAGTTTCATTCATTCATGAATTGGTGTTCTAAAAGGAATGATGTTCTTCTAGGAATTTAAGGTATAAGAACCTCAGATATTTTTCGCGATTCCATTTCTAGAATGTGAATCGGATATTGAAATTAATCTCTGCTTATTTGGGTCATAGCTAAAGTGCATGATCTCAATATAGGTCTTGCAAGAGAGTAGCTTGTTAATTGGGTGCAGTTGGCATACGGATGCATCCGTAGCTGTAGAGGTAACGTGCACCTTCAAATTTTAACATGGTATATAATTTTGATGTAAAATGTTCGTAGGATTATCTCAAAATCTATTTTTATATCTAATTATAAAATTTTAAATTTAAAAAATGGTTAAAATCAAGTAGATCTATAAACATATGAAAATCTTGAAAATGGACAGTGTAGATAATATGTTGTAAAATTCACTATTTTTTAGACTTAAATACTTTTTATTTTACTATGGTCATACATCTCGATGTCCAGATAATCAAT